TGCAGTAGTCTCTCTCTCTGCCTCGCTCTCTTTTTAAACTACCCATTTGCTCTCAGCTTAATAACAGTCATCTGTAAGGATAATTGTAAGATTGATCTCGACATGCATGGGGTTAAATGCATCCATTTGTTAGATTGGTGTTTGTTCTACAAAATGGCCTCTTGAAGATGCAGAAAACGTTGCCACTGCCATCAGCAGTTTCAAAACATGGATAATAACATTTTGCAAAAGTCTGCTAATTGAATAATTCAAACACTGTATGTATGCATTTATGGACCGGACAGCACATACATATTTAAACAGGCGCTCATGAACACAAAACAGACACACACACACACACTAAGTGACACACATGCACACAAAAGTCCATGTACACACGATGCCAGGGTGTGACTTCACATTGACTCGTGAGAGAGTGATGCACACTTCAACTTCAGCGCTGGAACTCATAGATGTGATTGAAATCTTAAATTAGTCTCTGAACTGGTGATAAAATGATGCTCAAAAGGGAGCTGAGTGCATGAATCATACCCTATTAGCCTTAATAAGAGTCAGACAGGCCAATTCTGGAACTGACAAAGAACAAAATCTGTGTGTATGTGATGTAATGTGAGTGATACTTTTGTATGATGAAATGTCTCTATCCTTTGGCTTTATTAAATGACTGTTTAATAAGTTGTTTGCTGGGAAAGTATGCTAATAAGAGACAACAGTTTCATCATTTCACAATGTCATGAGTTACAAACTATGAATGTGATGTGATGCGATGATTATTTACTGTAAGTTGAATTGACTCATGCTTCGGTATATAACTCAGTAATGACTAAAGGTAAGTTAAAGGATAGGTTCACATTTAAAACAAAATCTGTCTTAAAACAACACTCATGTGATCAAGTGAACATTAGAAGTGTTATTGATGGATCAAATCATTCCTCGTCTCTACACGTCTAAAAAAGATCTCTTTCTAAAGTGTTTTTAAAACAAGTGATGGGGGACAAAATCAACAGTAACATTTCTGTGTGAAAATATATTCCTAATTTCAGCCGAAGCTATTATGACGCTTCATCACTCTGAGTTAGATGAATCGAATGGGTATCTTCCAAAGTGCCTCTCAAAGTTAGTCTTTTTAGTTCAAAAGTCCTGTTATATTAGCCTCAGCTGAAGTTTTTAATTATTTTTTTGGACATGAATGAGGACTGTGGCTTTTGTACCTATCACATACATTGAAACTGAGTTGGAAAGTGAACTATTTCTGGCCAGTATGCACAGGATGAACTATTAAAGTGACAGATATATGTTTAGTTTAAAAACAGTGCTTTTAATCTACATATATGGGCATGTGAAGATTTTTTAAGCCACACTTGAAAGAATGTGAACATATCTTTTAATATTACTGTGCCACATCGTGAGTCTTTATGTTGTGTTTAATGTGTAGTAACCCATCACTCTAAGTAGTAGGTAATTGCACATTAAATACACTGTTAAAAAACGGAAATATTCCGGCAGCTGGGGCGCCAGAAAAATACCATAAAATAACAGTAAATAACCAACTCGTAAAAATACGGAAATATTCCGGGAGATGGGGTGCCAGAAAAATACCGTAAAATAACCCACTTGCAAAAATACAGAAATATTCCATAATAACAATACGGTCTGTAACTTTAATATTACATAAAATCTTGTGCAATTTTTGGGGCTTTTATTGTTTAATTAAGAACATATACACCTGTAAAAACAACTAAATAACTTTTAAATAAAGTTGAAAACTGCTATAATACAAATAATCAGGCTTAAAATTTATAGTAGAGTGCTTTTAATTGAGTTTTATTATATAATTTCACATAAAAATCTTGTTAATGTAATCAATATATTGTAAAAAAAAAAAATGATACAGCACCTGCAAATACTAGATTTTCCTTTAATGAAAAAGTCAAAATACTCTTCTGAAGTGTGTGTTCATTGGACTTTTGGACCATTTGTGAGGTCAGGGACAGATGTTGGATGAGAAGGCCTGGCTCGCAGTCTCCGCTCTAATTCATCCCAAAGGTGTTCTATCGTGTTGGGGTCAGGACTGTGCAGATCAGTCAAGTTCTCCACACCAAACTCACTCATCCATGTCTTTATGGACCTTGCTTTGTGCACTGGTGCGCAGTCATGTTGGAACAGGAAGGGACCATTCCCAAAATGTTTCCACAAAGTTGGGAGCATGAAATTGTCCAAAATGTCTTGGTTCCACAGTTCCACAGTTCCTTCACTGGAACTAAGGGGCCAAGCCCAACCCCTGAAAAACACCCCCACACCAAACTTTACATGCTTGGCACAATGCAGTGAGGCCAGTACCATTCTCTTGGCAACCGCCAAACCCAGACTTATCCATCAGATTGTCAGACAGAGAAGCGTGATTCGTCATTCCAGAGAACACGTCTCCACTGCACTAGTGTTTAGAGGCGGAGTGCTTTTCACAATGTACCCAACGCTTTGCATTGCACTTGATGATGTAAGGCTTGGATGCAGCTGCTCGGCCATGGAAAGCCATTCCATGAAGCTCTCTACGCACTGTTCTGGAGCTAATCTGAAGGCCACACGACATTTGGAGGTCTGTAGCTCTCGACTCTGCAGAAAGTTGGCAGCTTCTGCAGATGCGCTGACCCCGCTCTGGGTTTTTATGTGGCCTATCACTTCAAGGCTGAGTTTCTATTGTTCCAAATCGCTTCCACTTAGTTATAATACCACTAACAGTTGACCATGGAATATTTAGCAGTAAGGAAATTTCACAAATGGACTTATTGCACAGTTACCAAGCTTGAATTCGCTGAGCTCCTGAGAGCGACCCATTCTTTCACAAATGTTTGTAGAAGCAGTCCACATGCTTAGGTAATTGATTTTATACACCTGTGGTCATGGAAGTGATTAGAAAATCTGAATTCAATGATTCGGAAGGGGTGTCCCAATACCTTTGGCAATATAGTGTATACTGTCAGATCACACAGTCCTATTTATCAATGCAGTTATATTGTAAATCAAACGCTGTCAAGCTTTTTGGATGTAAGGAACGGCAAGCTAGTGTAGATCATCTGCCTTTTGCTTATTGCTCATACATAATGGAAGAGCTGTGAAATTACAGTAATTATGGCTGTTTTCAATGATCAAAACTGTGTTTCGACAGTTTAACAATACTTGTAGACACTATATACTGATTAAAATTTATTCAATGTTTTTATTTTCCAAATATCCATAATTAAAGGAGATATTTGTCAATTAACAAGAAAATCTATGTCAAGTTACAGAACAAATGTTTTTTGTTAAGGTTAACTATTACTAACTGTACCAAGTTTAAGAAATGTTTTTACAGTATAAAACTTAAACTGAACCCTTTTTTCTTTTAAATAAATACATTTTTAAAAAATAAAAATACGGGAAATTCCTGAATGTATTGTAACAGTTTGTTTACGTGAAAAACCCAAAAAGTTTCCTTAAGATAACAGAAATGTTATGGTTATTGACAGCTACAGGTTTTTCATGTTATTTTACATTAGACATGTAAATTCACAGTTTATTTTTGTAATTTTTTCATGTATTTCAAAAATACAGGAAAAATCTGTGAAATAAAAAGGAATAAAACTGTCAAAGTACAGATTTTTTTTACAGTGTACAAAATAAGTATATGTAATTTACCAAATAATTAAAGCCATTATACTAGAAAGGGAAACACTTAGCACATGGTGATTTAGTTAAACACTAATTGTATGATTCATAAGTTCAAGTAATTGCACTGTAGGATTAGGATAGGAAAATTGCTTTCCAGGATTTTGGTAAATTTGAAATAACTTTCTGTAAATTAAATTGTATTTTTTTTTAACTCATATTACATTTTTCCTATCCTTTCCACCTTAGCTGAAATATTGTTCATGTTATTATTTTTTCATTCCCAGAGCACTTTGGCTGTAAGATGAAATGAAGCTGTTCATTTTAATTTTATTTTTTTAAACTGTAATGATGGCAACCAATAGGGGTAGATCCACAAGATATTTGAGAGTTACAGAAAAGATCTGGTATGGTTCATCTCAGTTTAATGTCTGGACTGATGTCTGTGTTTTCCAAAGGAGTTGAATTTTTGATTTCGCCTGTTTGATTTGGCTTTGAATCTTCGTAGATTCTAGATGAGGTCCCTAAGCATAGTCTGCTGCAGAAAATATCTCAGTCATTCTCAGGTGTGAAAACCTCACTAGTATTACAGGTACTCTTTAGATTACACTTTCAAAGAGACTGACTCAGACTCCACTGAGTCATGAAGTAAGACTCTATAAAACACTGAAGTTTTAGTGCTTCTTTCTTTCAGTGCAATACAACTCTTACTATTCACAGATATATTTTGAGGTTGGGTTTCAGTATGACAGTAAGAGACATCAAATGTCATGTTTACTTTTCAACACTGATGCTCTCGGCTTCTGTCCAATGACAGACAGTCCTACAACTATCTAAGAACTCCCACACACACACACACACACACACGCACACACACACACACGCACACACACGCACACACACAGCTTCACTCTCTCTTTCTCTCCCTTAAACACACAAACACACAGTGCTCCACACAGGCTTCAAATACCTTCTATTCTGGTGATCATAATTATTTCATGATGGAGCTTCTGGTTTCTCAACCACGCTTTTGTACATGCGATCTAGCTGTGAATAATTTAGCACGGGGAGCTGGAAAGGTGGTCCCTTAAAACAGCAGGTGCAGTCAAACTCAGGAGGCAGGACACACGGAGGGAGCTTTATCTCATATAGTCATCCACCCACTCCTTAACGCACAGCTCTTCAGTCGGGCTCACATCCACCCTGTGCTTCCATCAAGCTGTATATCAGTCCATTCTTTCATCCATCCTTCCGTGCACCTTTCATCACACCAGGCACCACAGTGTCCAGCTGATGTCAATTTGCCCCAGGTAAGGAGCATCTTGGGTGGACTGACGCTCTCTAAGCGTCCCCTCCTCAGTCAGCCACCATGGAAGAACTCCAGAGAAAGCTGAATCAACGCTATGAAGACACCAAGCCCAGAAAGGTAAGTTGTTTACAGGAATGCTTCTCTCAAATTGTGGGTTTTGAAGCAGCCTACTTTTATGCATGCACCATGTTGAGTAAAAGACATATTGGGGTCATTACTGAGCTTTCTGTTTAAAGTTTTTTTTTATGCAATTGCTTTAATATCAGTGACATATTGCTTTACATTATAGCACACAACTAGCTGAAGCTGATGTTCTTGAAGATAGCGCTCAGCTTTTAACTGTATCTGATGTTGTCAAACTGCAAACTAAGAAAGGGACTCATACTGGATGTTAACTTGTGTGTTGACACAGTATGTGCATTTTCCTCCCTCTACTCTTTTATATTCTAGCAAGCCAGGCAAGTTAGTCACTATACAGCAGTTAACATGCTGATCTTTTCAGCACCTGAAGCATTTAGGGAAAAACATGTCACCTTCAACTCAAAACCACAGGTGAGGTTCAAGCTGGCGTCATCGTACAGTGGCCGGGTGTTGAAGCACGTGTATGAGGATGGTCAGGAGCTGGATAGTCCAGAGGAGAAATACCCTCACAGCTTTGTTCATCGCAAAATCCCTCCCAGCCATCTGGAGGTGGAGCAGCTCTGTGGGTTTGAGGATTCTCATGGGGACCAACAGGGTGGGTTTTTATTATTATGTAACATACTGTACCACTGTGTCATAGTTTGTATGCATGGCTGTACTAAGGCTTGTTTGTGTGGGCTAGACAGCTGGTAACCAGGGAGACCAACAGAATGTGTATATTACATTTGTACATGGTCCTGCCTGTATGGTGGAGTGGTTTCCATGAAATTATTTGGTAGAACATGTTGAGCTGAAGCATGTTGTTTCTCTCTTCCAGTTGCAAAGATAGAATTAACAATCTAGCTAAAATAAAGTCTAACTGATTCCTAGGGCTGGATGATATGGCTAAGTCACCTGGCCACAAGTATCAAATCGTTATTTCTTTCAGGTTTAAAGGCTGATTTTAGCTCCTGATTGAAAGTTGAAGAAACCTGATTATTGATTGTGGTTTGAAGGTAAACACTTGATGCCAAAAAGTGAATCACTTCACAAATCTGAGGTAGAACATTCAAAACAATTATGATAAAATCTTAGACAACAAATATGCATGAGTAAAATTAAGTAAAAGCTTTTTTCAGTCCTTTTTCCTCAACAAAATAAACATCTTGATGAAAACATTAAGTCCTAATTTGTGTATACTTCAAGTGAATAAAATAATTTATTGAACATTTGTTGAAAATACCCTGGCTCTATCCAAAGGTGACAGAATCACTAATTAACATGCTATAACTTATTTGTTTAATCTGTACAGAAAACAAATTGTTAAAATTAAAGTTAGCCACAAACTCCTGGAGTATCTGCTTGTTTTTTTGGTAACTGGTCCCTGCAATTTTAGTATGCTTGTTTTTTCTAGTGAGAGTGCATCTCTTCCTCAAAACATGTCTAGAATTGGTATGTTGTTACAGAGGATTTGTTAAGGCTAGCATGCTATGCTGGTTAACACAGCTAGCCAGGGTGGTCACAGTTAGTTTCTGTACAGACGGTCAGAGTCTTCCCTGACTTCCAAGAAATTCAGTCATGGACATGCATTCAGACATATAGGAAATACGCAGTTTTTTGTGGATGAACCAAGGACTTGAGTCTCAAATCTCTTGTACAAGTTCTCACTCTATCCTGACAACATTTTTTATTCTGTGCCCAGGTGTCTATCCCCCAACAGGGCTCATTGCCCAGAGAATAAACGTGTACAGAGGAATGGGAAGCTACAAACCTCCTGCAGGCCAGACTGAGGAAGCAGAGGGAGATGCCACAGTAAGCAATGCTGCTAGCTGCTTTTGATTTATCTAAATTAAATTGAAAAATGACATTAATCAAGATCAACTTAGATCACATTTCCCACTAGCAGTGTTAGTTTTGTCTGTCTGAATGTCAAGTAGGCTACTAGGACCTATCTTAATTGTCTTAATTCATTCTGCTGCGTGGCTTATATGAACTGGAATCCAGAACAATAAGATTTTGCTGAACTTTAATTAAAATGTTAATAGTTAATGTGATCTTTAAAAACTGTTTGGTAATAGAACTAAAAACATCACATCTCAATGGTAACTTTAATGGGACTGTAGGCATCCTGAGAGAGAGTGTCAGGGTTATAGTTAATGGATAAAAAAGTATTGAAGTATCAATGACCAATCCTGTCCTTCCTGTGTGTGTGCAAATTTCCCTATTTTAAATGGCAGATAAATAGATATTTTCATCTTCGATTCATGTATTTTATCCTTCCTGTCCTGCTGAAAATTGCGATATAGCACCACAAACATTGTCAATTCAACAAACTGCATGTAATTATTTATGAATGTTTATGAATATGAATTATTGTTTGCTATTTTAAACAGCCCAACTACAGAAAAGGCCAGTTAGCACCTTAAAATGATGTCTGACACCCTTTGAATGGTAAATTACTAATTTTGGAGCATGATCACTTTGCTACATCTGTTTGGATATACTGACATAAAACGAACTATAATAAGAAAGTATCACAGCTCCTTGGAAATTATTTATTTTTTAACCCCCTACAGAGCATTGCAAGTCTACAAATGTTGAAAAGCAAACAGACAAGCCAAAATGAATGCACAAAACACATACACAATTACCAGCCAACGCAGAGTAATTTAATAATGAATTTATACATCTTTAGGACAGAACAAGAGACAGCACTTAAAATAGAAAATGGGAAGAATCATTGGGTAATTAAAGCTGCAACTGCATGCTGCTGGGTGAAAATTGTAAAACAATTAAAGTTGAACAACAACAGCTACAAAATTGTTCATCTGACCACATTGAAAAAGCCACTGTTACTGAGCTGCTGTGGCAGTGGCTTCATTAGTGCAGCATGCAGAGAGGGAGGTCATCAACATTGCCTGCTGGCTTCGTGTCAGTTTCATTCTTTTATCCTCTAAACAAAGGCATGCTTGGCCCTGGTGACCAAGGCCAGTATTTATCACATTTATCAGTGGAAAATAGCTGGATTTAGCTTATCCTTTACAGCATTATTGAAAGGATGGCGGAGTAGTCCTAAAGGAGCACCCCTACTGTACAAGGTATAATGAGTTCATGCCTATATGAGTTTCTTTTTCTGCTTTATAATAAGAAAAAAAAGTTCTTTATTTGATTATCATGTCTGAATGTTTTAAAAATGCAACCTGGCAACTCATTTACTGTGTACATAAACACTTCAAGGCAGGGGTATCACTTTGTGTTGAAAAGTGGTGGGGACATATTAAGGGCTCAGTTTAGGGGTTTTATGATACAGTAGTGTCATGATGATGTACGAGAACCGGACAAGAAGATTTTTAACCTTATATGGGTGGGGGTAGGAGGGAGCATTACACACTTAATTTCCTACATTCTAGAGACATTTTCTGCTCCAATTTAGAGTGGAAATGTCTTTGTTTATATAAAGGGAAACAAAAAAGCAGCGTCCCCAGTGTAAATGACACCTATGCTTTAAGGTAGAAATTAACTACCACTCCCAATGTGAGTAGAGAATATCTAATAACAGATATTAAAGTTCTGTTACGTAAATTCTGGCTCAATTATGGAATAATAAAGAAACTATGACGCAGTGTTTTGTTCTGAAGTTCAGCAACGAAATGCTCTGAATTTGCTACTGCTAAAATTTACGCCTGATGCTATATTTTTGCTATCATCAAAGATCAATGGTTTCTCTCCAGAAACTAGATAATCATAAAGGAGGAAATCTTAGTTAAATGAAGAATTACTGTAGTTTCCAATTTCTCCACCACCAGAAGACTCAATAGACCAGAAGCAGCTACAAAGCATGTTGCGTTTTGCACAAGGGGTATGACTCTTCAGCTGCATTCAAAACCTCTTCTCACCCACACATAAAGCCCACAGCTAAATGTGGGCACTCAGACTTGCAGTGATGGAATCTGGGAAAGGAAATATATAACGCAAGGTGAGGCTAATTCAAATACGTAATCTTAGGTTGCACCAGATGTTGTTAATAATAACTGACATTATCTGTTTCTTTCAGTCCTCAGTGTTGGACTTTGGCAAAATAATAATCTACACCAGCAATCTGCGCATCATCAGAGCACCACAGAAGAAGCCTGAAGTGTTGCGGCAACACACACTGCCTCCTGTGGACTTGGAGGGATACCCAAAGGCCAGGGAGAGGGGGAGCAGGAGGAGGGCTAAAGCTCTTTGTACACAGGACGGGGAGGAGAAGGAGGAGAAACAGATCAGCGACACAGAGACCAAGGTAATGATCCAAATTTTTCTCAGTGGTGTAGTATGGTTTTTATCATCCTGTTTCAGTTTCTTGGTATTGTCACTCTCAGCATGTCCTTCACCCCATCCTTCCTCTTGACTCTTTCTCTGCATATGTCTTCAGCCATCCTTTCTTCACTTTATCTTTGCTTTCAAGAGGATAACTGCAGAATCATCTGTACAGCCATATTGTTGTAATTTGTAACTGTTCACAGAGGGGTGTTTATTCTCATCCCACAATCTTCCCTGAGTTTCCTTGTAACTGCCACGTTATTTGTACCCCTTTTCTTTTCTTTTCCTGTTGCCCCCTCCTGCTGCAACAACCACCATCCCATTGTCCTAGCGTTATCTGTCAACTGTGAACAGATACTGATGAGTCCACAGTTTCACTCTGCCCTTGCAGCATTTGCCTGCCACTTGCCAGCCCGCAAGGATACCCAGCTTGCTATTATCCCCTCCCTCTCACCTCCTTGGCTGATTACTGTTCTCTTCCCCTCACTCCCTGCACTCTTTTCTCACCTCTCTCATTATTTTCTCATTTTCTCTGCCTCTAGGAAAAAAAGTTCATTCTCAGCTTTTTTGTTTTTCATTATTTGGCAATCTCACTTGTCTTTGTTACTTTCTTTATCATCTTTGACTTTCTTGCCCAAAGATAGTTCATTTTACATTGTCTTTCTTTCTAACACAAACATGGATTTACTTTGTATGTGCATACATTTTGCAACTGTTTACACAAATATGGACCTAGATATTTCTGCAACAGCTGATGATCACAGTATAGTGAGTGAATACATCACTAACCCTATGTGAAGCTTGAACTAATGTAGGTGTAAATGTAGCTCAACTCTAAGTCAGAGCATCAGCCTGTGTGCAGCTTAGCCTTGTGAACCTAAGCTGCTTTGACTTTTCCACTGCTGGAAACAGCTTGACATGCATGGACCATACTAAAAACCTCTGTGTTTTTCAAAATTCCAGTGAAATTTAGTGAGTTTAACACTTTCACTTGCTGTTTGTGATGCATTTCATCCGCAAATGTTTGCTTGTAGGGTGTTGGGTGGGTTATTATTGAAATGGTGGTCCAATAGTTACTGATTATCTGATTCAAATTGTAACTAATAGCCTTAACAAAGGGATCCTCCAGACTCAAAAATATCTTTCTCACTTCGAGTCACATTGTATTTTACTGTTTGAGAAAGGAATTGTTGAATAGGAATCGAGAAACACTTTTTCTGCGCCATGATTTTTAGACCAGTGAAACCTCATCAACAGTAACTTCCTGGTTACTCAGGAAAATCCACAGACCTCGTTGTGCAAAGTTTTCACTGTGAACTTTTTCTACTGATTTACAACATCCAGCAGTTTGTATATTTGTAACCTAGTGTAACCTCATTGCACATCCTCTGTTACTATCCACCCCTCATCTTGTCAATAATCTACAGGCAACTGCACGTTATTGTAAATTTTGCAGTAATGACCAGCTGGCTGTAGTAATGATCAGCTGGCTGTACATTATCCTGCAACACAGCTACTTACCAGAGGCATTTTTAAATAATAAAATCGTTGTTGTTATGGTTGTTTAGTGTCTGCCAGCAGGCAGGCCAGTTAGACTAGATAGCTATGTTAATGTCCATTGTTAATGAACTGGCTAACGGTGTTGCAAGTTAATTAGTTTTGAAAAAGCTGTAGAGTAAAATGAGTAATATATTTAAATGTAAATTTCTATATTATAAATTATTGATGGATTTGACACTACATTTAAATACATTATATATACAGCAATTGCTTAGAAATGGCTGACAAACTTCCCATCACTGTCCAACTTCTTTTTATAACTCTATCCCTACCTTTCTTGTCTTTCTCACCCATTCTAACCTCTCCCTCCCCTTTTCACTTTTACTCAACCTTACGGTTCCTCTTTCTCCTCCTCTTCTCTCCCCTAATGTGTTTCTTCTGTTTCCAGGAGGCTGACAGCTGCCAGCATTGTGGTGGTTCGGGCTGCGCTCCCTGCTCTCTGTGTCACGGTAGCAAGCTGTCTATGCTGGCGAACCGCTTCAATGAGTCCATCAGTGATCTGCGTTGCCAAGCCTGCTACCCCCATGGTCTGGAGAAGTGCCAGTCCTGCTCCAGCAAATAGCACTGTTTGGCTGACACCCATGTCTGGCAGAGAGAGAGAGTGAGTGAGTGAATGAAAGTGTGAGTGTACGCCTGATGTGCTATCAGTTCGTCAGAATAGTCTCAGCGGCAATATTGCTCTAATCCAAAATGTTCTTGGTGGGGTGTTTCGAAGCACTACTAGGAAACATAAGCCATCATTGGAAAGGGGAATTGTGACTGTGCACAGGGCACAAAATCATAAAATACAATTACCGTGTGCAGTGAACATGGCTTGATAACACAAACACATAATCACTTTTTTGTTGTCACATTATTTTGCATCTGCACCCTTCCTCCTGATAAAACCGGGCTCCACGACAGAGTTATCATTTTAATTAAAATGATGCAAACATTTAGCATTTTATTTCATCTACTGGGAAGGCTGCCCTGTTCATATCTCCACTCTCTATTCACCAGAAATAATGAAGCCTTTTATATCACTACATGGTTTAGCCCACTGTATGAGGGTAATTGATGCTTTCATTTTTTTTAAAGAGAGAGGAAGAGAGACTGGAAGATAAAGAGTTTGAGATGGAAAGGAAAAAAAGAAATTCAGAGAGTGAGAGAGGAGAGTGAGGGAGGGAAAATGAAGACTGTTTCATACATTTTAACAACATAAATTAAATTTGATTAAAGTGCACTCCATCCAACAATGGCAAAAAGGATGACACAACAGCAATGTTGCCATGAACTCAAGCTGACCGCAGCTACTCTTGCTAAGAAGTTTCAAACACTTAACATTTTAAGTCAAAAATCTAGATTTTGGGTGGTGTATTACTTTAGGGGCTAAATGTAGTTTTTTTTTTAACGAAATGAATCATTTTTTAATTTCCCATTTGTGAATGGGTTGTAACCTAAACTTGAAATGAACCACTCGCCAGCTTTCTCGGTTGCTTGTAACAGCCTCTATGCTGCTTCCTATGTAAAGAAATCAGGTCAGATTTTCCTTGAAATCCACTGGATTTAAGTAGGCTGTGACACTCGTGAGCCTCTTGCCAACTAATTCATTGATGCTCTCAACAGCGACAAGGCAGCTAATGAAATGAAGTCCCCTAACACCAAAAAACGACCGGCTGCCAGCACATCACAGACTCAGACACAAACTTCACATAAGGATAAAAAACAACAAAAAAAGTTGATGTGCTCTACTAGCCGATAGTGACTGTCACTGTCACTAACCGTTTATGCTGACCTTCCAGAGCCTCTATGGTGAAAGACCGGCCGATGCTGAGTGCTTGCTCATTAGTTCGAGAATGCGCACGAGCACACGTTTGGAAAGGTAGTGGTTGCAATCCGAAACCTCACCACTCCAAGCCACTCAAAAAACTACACATGGCCCCTTTAAGACATTTTTGCTGTGAACAAGTTAAGAATAAAAGGAAAACAGTCAAATAAATTACGATAGTACTGCTTGCTCAGGAGTTGAATTATGGCAATTATGAAGATCTTTTTTTTATTAATAATCACATTCTCAGGTTATTACCATTTCAACTTGTTTCAAAGCTTTATGCACAGTTTTGGTATATGAATGAAATAAAACACCTAATTAATTTTCAATTCCTCTTCCTTTATTGTGTCCAACAACCGCTGTTTCATAGTATAACCTGAAGGGCGCATTTTCTTGCTTCTTCACTGAGCCTTAGATCAGTTTAGAAATGTCACATTTTGTAGAAGTGTATAATTTTATAGCTGTAATCTGGATAAATCTAAATGTATCCTGCAGTGGGAGTTGCATCATAATTCAAAAAGTAACATCTGTGATTATAATGTGTGAAAGTAATTCCTTAATTGTTTAATGTGTTTTCACAGTGGGTTAGGAGTGTTTGTTTGTGTGTTCCCAGCTTGAAAACTAAGTGGAACATAACAATAAAGACATATGCAACACGCTGCATAATTCCTAGTCATCACATTTTAGTCATTACAACCTCAAATCAACTCCAATCAACCATAGTGTTTTGTATCATGCCATTTCAGGATGATTTAACAGAAAAAGAAGAAAATTAAACAGTATCGCTTCAAAAGCAAAAGGTTGTTATAGTAATAGTTTTCACGCTGGTATTGCCGGCTCTGAGTGATCACCTTCATGCAATTATGCATTTCATCTGTGGAGACATCAGTATCTGCCAGGATTATGTTTACCCATCACAAGAAAACAGAAATTCTCCATGTAAGGTTTAAACATTAGATAGCAATGTTTCCCACACAGAATGTGCATTTGACTTCTGTTTGCAGAACGGTCTTGAGTTACCAGTTTTCCTTTTTCAAAACATACTGCATTTTCTCTAATATTCCTACCTGCTCCGTAATCAGATATAAACTGCACTGAGCCGTAGGATATTTTGCACTGTCTGCTGAAATGGCATTTTTCACCACTTTCCTTATGCTGCAAGGCAGAAATGATCAATCAAAATCAGCGTTAGCAGTGGAAAGCACTGACCACATCGTCTATGGGATCTATCTATGGCGTCGGTTGCCCAAAGTTACGCCAGAACAAGCACCCAAGACCATTAAAGCCCACTATCGCTGCACCTATACCTATCTTTGTGCTGGCATTTCCATTATTTTGTCTTATTACGTTAGATAGCCTCACACTCAGTTAAAGAGCAGACTATATGGCTTCTCAGCAGCCTGGCTGAAAGCCCCATCAGCAATCAAATGCCCGCTATTTCTGGGATGAGAGGAGGAACCTGCATCTCCAGTCTCTCTCTTTTTCATCTCTCTCTTTCTTTCTCTCTGATTGGTCTGCTAAAAAATCTGCCACCCATACTGAAGTTAAAACTCAGCTTTTTAACTTTGTCACTTCAGCTCCCATTCTCCCTCAGTATTCCACATGGGAGCCAAAGTGATGGAAAATTGGGTCACAGAACTGTACTTGGCCTCTTCTGTCCCGCAGGACCTAAACTGATAAGGGAGCAGGTAAAAACACACAAGTGTTACACAAAATTCTGTGAGTTTGTAGTGCTCAGCTAAAAGCATTTCAGATAAATATTGAGAAATACGTGCTTGAGCATCAAGATCATACCCTTTTATAGTTGTAGAATGGTAATTGTGTGCACATCTGATCCTATATTAAGGCCAGAAGCAGGAAAGTAGACTCAGAAATGAAAAGAGGCAGAGAGCATCTGCACACTGTTATACATGGACTTTATTTGTATGATTGGGCAGTGTTTCAACACATCAGACGAATGGCCCAAGTGAAAAAGTGCAAGGTATATGTACTCTCACACAACTGATTACATCATGCTATGATATGTCATTACCAACAAATCAACCTAATACAAATAAGGTAAACACTTTCAATAAGAAAACCGTGTTGTTATCAAAGAAATCACAAAAAAGATCCAAAGAAAATACTTTTTAAAAAGAGGGATGTAGCATAAAATGCATAAAACACTGTACAAGACTGAATAGTTAAGGGAGGATAAATAATAAAGAAGGAACCGTTGGAGTTTGTTTTAAGGAGGAGAGGTTTACGAGAATGGCTATCAAAATCCTCACTGATACCGCGGGGAGACTGAGAAAATAAATCTAGAGGGTTTGTTGTAGAAGCCATTTTTCATAATCCGCACCCGTGTTTGGCCTCTTGACCTCAAAACTCCGTGTCAGTAAGTCTCAGTGCACTTGCATGATGAAACGTTGCCTGTTCTGTCTTTCCCCATTTCCTTGTCCTTTCTTTTTCTAGAAAAACACCTGGAAAACATGCTGCAATAAAATTGACATGACTGAAATGACCAAATTTTAATGTTTTGACAGTGATCACACCACTCTATTAGTAACACAGAGCTCTTAACCTGTCTGCATTTTACAGTTCTGCAAAGCAAGACATCAAAGATGTTGCAGCCTTTTCCTGACTTTTTCTTGACTTTGTTTACTGTACTACGGTGAGTGGACACACACTCCCACATTTGTGTAAAGCCACTATAGCTGCTATTCTTGTGATATATTGTGCACCATTACATAAAATGGTTATTTATTCCACTATCAAATAAAGCCCTGTTTAATCACAACAGCCAGTAAACAACGGCTTATCAATATAGAGGGAATCACTTTCCCTGGTGGCAGCATCATCATTCATTATGCCTTATAGATATATCTGTGATCTCTTATAGCCCGTTTGTAATGTACAACACAGGAAGCAGACTGGGAGCTGACTGTGTACATTAATCATAAACTCTCATGCAAGAATATTTTGCACATTGTTGGGAAGTGAGCCACATCTGCAAAAGATTTAACTTTCTCTGTTTGGTTAATTATGATCATTCTGTCCATCCTGTCTGTGTCTTCATAGCTCACCCCTGGTGTTAATTCTGGTCTACAGGACTTAGACTCTGACAAGAGAATGAAAAGAGTGAACAACAGCAACTGCTAAATATTTTTTTTTCTGGATTGCCATGCTCACATAGTAACAGTCCTCAGTCACAATACCATGTCCCTGTTCCCTTAGGTTAGAGCAGTTGGGTGGTGCAGTGATTAGACAGACTGTCCTTCAGCGGTTGGATCAGGCTTTAAGCCTCCATCACAGCAAGCTTCGATCCTGCTGAAGCATCATTTGGCCAAACGCTGAACCCCCCACCAGCTCCTATTAGCTGATCCTGACGCCTGACCTCTTTATGGAAGGGAGAGGTACAACAATTACATTTTTTCTCCAAATGAACAGTGTAACCCACATGTAATTCACAGTCTACGTGACCGAAGAGTCAAAGGTTATGATTTAGATAAATATTGACATCATTCATTCGTCATGAGGTCAGTGACATGGCCATTTTTATAGGGCTATGTATTGAACACTTTAATTGTGTTTTTATTGTCATTTTTCTCACATCTGTTTCACAATATCGTGAAAGTGTGTAAAGATCCTACATGATCACATATACAGTACATGATTTTAGTATATTATTTTTGTATCATGTTTAGTATTCTTTCTATTTATTTATTTAAATGAAGTATTATGGGTGACTGTTGTTTCAATTAAACTTTATTAAATTATTTCCTTATTATTTTTGAGAAACAGTTGTCTCATTTAAAATGATATATGTTACTGTAATAGCATTTTAAGTGCTTGCTAACATCTCACATATGATACATTCACCTGCTCTGTAATAACTTGTAGTTAGCAGATTTTACATGTGAAAACACACATAGGTATTCACATAGGAATTATTTTTTAAGATAATTATGATCGCCAAATGTCATGAGTACAGAGAAAGCACTTCCATGATGTAAGAGGACACGTTGAGTTCTGCCTTGATGTTCTCTTCCTTTGGGGTGTTGGGTTTTCTGTCTTGTGGTATAACTGCACTTGATACATTATGGATGCTAGTGTCGCACCTTGTATTAGTAAATGAGACTACACTATCAAATATCACTGTGTTTGTATGACATTCAAAATCATGTGTCCTGATGTAATGTAAGCAGTGCCTAACACCCACATGTTCACCCATTCTGGGTGAGAGTTCAGCTTGATACTAAATTTATAACGCAATCCCGCAATAGTTTGTGTCATGTGAAATTAACCTCCCTTATCACAGTGTGCTGTGGCTACTGGCATTAAGAGAAGTCTATATGGAAACAGAATTCTAAAAGCATTCCTATTCTGTGGTGTCAAAGATACACTAAAACTGTGACAAATCTTTCAAATTACATCCCTGGATTTCACCTCCAAGTTTGTAGAAACTTCTAATGAATCTATCCATTCCCAGTCTACACACCGGCTCATGCCGAGAGAGGGAGAAAGAGATCCAGGAAGTTAAAGAACAAATTAAAGTCTCCCTGTTGCGTTTCAACCACACTCTAAGATAGCTCCTTTTACTGAATCTAATTTACACTCTGGAGGCCTGACTGGAAAATTCGCTGTTCATTTGCATGACGGAAGAAAACAAATCCTAAACTGCCGTGAGACACAGAGAATGTAATAATGCAATTTATGGAGATGATTCACTGTGGTGTCCAAAATAGCAAATGATTGGTCTTGTGCTAGCATGAGCTTTGCATGTCACCAAGCTACAGTACATAGTAGTGTACATTTGACTGCCAGTAAAGATACAGACACTGAGGGAAAAGAACATTTAAACAGTTGATTTCTAAAAACAAGATGAATTCAAAGGGAAATGTTTGTCGTTCAGTATAGCTGAAATACGATTAAAATAAAGTGATAATTTGTGAACTAAGGATTTAATTTACTTAACACCTTTTTATAAAAGCATATTAGTGTAAATAGTGTGGTATGTCTCATTTCTCTTGCTGTCATGAGTAACGACAATTGTCTGTCAGGAGGCACGACCAAAAGTGAAAGTAATGGGTGCTGTTGTTGTTGAGAGGAGGTTAGGATGGATGGTTGGGCGTAGAAAGCAGTGTCATTTTGACATGGGACATGAATGTTCCCCTAACAGTCAGTGTTAGTTTATTAACTGTGTTAGGCAGTATATTCATGTCTATTTTGTCATTGTGTATGGACACAACCCCTGTTGTAGTATGATAGTAGAAGATACAGCCGGCCAAGGATTCTACCTGAGAATGTTGTGATAAATTGACTAAAATAAAAACAAAGACTGCACCAGTTGTATATATTTTATCTAAAAAAAAATAGATATACAATAATCACATTAAACTTCTATGCAGAGTGGTGCCACCATGTCATGTGGAAATACATAGGGTAATTTAGGTAATTGCATATTTTTATCTACTAAATCTTTGTCAAGTGAATTTTTTATTACCACCACATTATACATTCTGCTACTGCTGTTGTGCAGCTCACCACTAAAAGGATTTTATTCTAAATGGAAAATCAAGTCCATATACTACAAACTGAATGCATAAAGCAGATCCTCAAGACTGTTGCTCACAGCATCAACAAATTCTTATATTAGCATTTGCATATGTTACCAAGTAATTTCACAGCCATTATTTGATAAATAAAATTCTACAGAATGCATGTTTGGGGTGCATATGCAAAGACGGGACAAAGAGCAACTAAAACATGCAGAGTGTCCTGAATCCAAAGGGCATGTTAGCATTTAAGTTTAAAAGGCCAGGCATCAACATGTCTCCAGTAAGCTAACACAGACCAATGTAATCACAATATCTTCATTGCTGCAGCATGAAGCAAATGCAAAAATATCATGCACTGAATATTTATCAGTCAAAATGGATGTCTAAGCAAAATCAATCTCCAAACAAAAACATCTCCCAAGTGACTGCTGGAATTAAAAAACTTAAAAGTCAAAGTTTATCCACCAGCAAATTGGAATTCATTCCCT